TGCACAGCTCTCCTGGATCCCCAGGGAGTTTCTGGGAGCTGCCTCCACCCCAGGCATCCTCCAGGGAGCCCAGCTGAGCTGACAGAGCAGCAGCAGCAGCCCTGCACAGCCAGGGATGCACCTGAGCAAAGCCACCCAAAGCACACACAGAGCAGCAGGAGAGCCTTCCATCCTCCCCTGTTTATCCACTCCCTTCACACTCCAGATCCAAGATCCCACTCAGAGCTGAGAGAGGAACAGGAGCTCCATGCCAAGGCTGAGGATTTATAAATGGGAGCAGCTTCTCAGCCGTAGCACTCAGCACTGACACACACACGAGGTTTTTAATTTAGAACCCACAAAGCTCCAGAATCATCTCAGAGTCCTGACAAGACTCTGCTCTGTTCTTTTGACAGGCACTAAGGCAGAGATTTCAATTTAGTACTTCTCACAATTCAAACACATCACTCCCCACACCTAGAGAGCCACCAGAATCATTTGCATCTTTATGTAAGCCCCGATTATGCAGGCACAGCTATTTTCTACTGGCACACAATAAACACTACAAAAGCATTTCCACAGTGCCTGAACACTCCAAAGACTGGGAATTAAAAATATACATTTACTATCTCCTCCACAGCATGTTTAGTTCAAATGGTCATTATTTCTGTCCTTATTGAAATGGATTTTCAGTAAGTGGAAGTGCATTTAACCCATTATTCATGCAACTTTGGGAAAATAATCTGCCAATTCACAAATAACTTCACATGCACTGCAAAGAAGAGATAACACAAAGTAATAATTTTAAACTACTCTAATTTTGTTCATTTAAGACTGCAGGAGTCACTTCTTAAATCAGCTCCCTCACAAATTTGAGATTCTTTTCTTTGTCCTACATTACCCACAGCAGAGCCCAATAACTGGAATGATGCACAGGAAAAGATATTCACTGATCTAAATTATTTAAGACACCAGAGCACAGTTATTGAAATAAAACCTTAGAGTTTCTTACTTCTCTCCCCTCATCCACAGTCATTTTTTGTACCTTACACTTACAAAATACACTGCAATGTAGGAATTTGAAAGTTTAGTGGATACCAAAAGAAATTTGTGGGGGAAAAAATGAACAAATATCAGGAATGTTATTCTGCTTTTCTCCAAAAGCAAACTCTGGAAGGAACTCTGGCATACCTGCAGTGGTGGGCACGCTCAGGTTTGATACTACAGCACTTGGGACATTTGTAGATCACTTCTCCTGGTTTCAGCTGCAAATTATCCATGTATTCTTTAGTGGCATTTCCTTTGGGCACAGCCCCCTGAAATCATTTCAATTAGAGGAGAAAAAGCTTCTTAAATGGCATGAGAGCATTTAAAAATACATTTCATAGACTTCATACCGGTAACCTCAGGATAATTGCTGAAATAAGTTCATTTATTCAAAGCCAGTCTGCTATAAGCCAGAATCAATTCCAAATGAATAAATTACCTCTGCTTGACCTCAAATTCAGCTTTATTCCAGCAAGACTCATCTCTGGCCAAGTATTAGCTTAATTCCCATAGAATATCCTGTCCCCAGCCCACAGAAATGAAGAGGGAGACACATCTTACCCTGCAGACACAAGCACTGCCCATCCTTTCTGAGGGGTTACCCTGAATATTTCTTGTGGAATTTGATTAATGGGTGAAGCCATCCACAAAAATCAGCAACTACTTGAAAGATGTTATTTCAACTGTCTGAAGCCAGGGTTTAACCACCTGCCCCAAGTTTTTGAGAATTTTAATTTTTCTTCCCAAAATCTTTAGCTTGGACACTGTTAGCAGGACCAGCAGTGGCTCCTTTACTCTTCTTTATTGTGCAGCTTTGTGGTAAAGAGTTGAAGGAACTGATTCAGAAGAAAAATAATTGATTGGGAAAAGAAATTAACTTTTAGTGATTAGTTCTCTGATCTGATTATCACAGAGCTGCATCCTGAGATCAGGATCTAAATTTGGATTAGTAAGGAGGAAATAATTCAGGATCATCATCACCCTGCTCATTGATGGAGATAAAGCCTTATCTGTGAGGGGAAGTAATTGTGAAACAAACTGGGATGTGGCAGCCAAGTGGATTTTCTGTACAACTGCTCCAGGTCAGCACTTCCTTCACACAGGGAGAGCCTTCTGCAGCTCAGCCTGAGCCAACTGCAACATTCTACAATTCATTCTCATTCAGAAAAACCCCCTGGCAACATCAGCACTTGACACAGACACCTCAGGGACATCTGGGACAGAATAAAGAGCCCAGCAGGAACTCAGATTCCACTGCCAAACACCTCTCTGCTCAGGGGAGTTTTTGTTACCTACGGCCTGGAATAATAAATTTGTGTTTGTGTTGGCCAAGACAAGCCCAGGGCCTGTCCCAGGTGAGCTCTGTGGCTGAGTGGTGCTCCAAACCTGACCAGGTACTTCCTTCAACACTCATGTTCTACTCCTGAGCTGGATTTTGCAATCTGAACGTTCTCACCCCAGTTAATATTTGGTGTAAACATCTCACACTCCACCTGCCACAAGGATCAGAACCTCAGACCATGCTTTCAAGCATCCTGCTGACAAAAATATACTCTATTTCAAAACCATCTTTCACAGTCACAGCCAGCCAGTAAAAATCTATTTTTTATAGTTACAAGTGGAAATTTAATTCACTTGAGTTTTGAGGCAGTTCATTCCTTTCATCTTGGTTTCTATCACACAGTTGTGCCTTCCATTCTGGGAGTCAGCACGAAAGGAATGGAGGAAAAAAAGCAAAAAGGAATGGAGGAAAAAAAGTGACTCATCTCAGTTTGGATCATAAAAACACCACAGGTCTAGAAAGACACCCAGCTTTACCAGCTCATCTTTATATGCAATAAATCCTTAAACCATGAACTCTCTGAGCTGTCACAGTTTGTACAAGTTGTGATATTTCATCACTGGGTGTGGACAGAAGTAAATCAAAGAGCTAGAAAATCATTAACTGCAACACCCTGCTGGGTTTTTCAATGTTTCTCTATACACTGCTACTGGAGAAAAATCACCATTTTTATCCAAAAATCTGGAGAAAATAGATGTTTTTTCCAGATTTATTCCTTAAAAATAATAATAGATTTTAGTACAAAATCAGCCATTTAATCACTTGAAATCTGGAGGAGTAAAAGTTCTAAGAAATGAGTACTTTCAGGACCTCTTACACCTACAATGCTTCACTGTGTGTTCAGCTTAAATCTCCCTTCCTTTCCAAATATTCAAAGACAAAAATTCAGGAATCACTGGGGACAGTGGTTTTTCCATTATGCCAGGTGTGCCTGAGGTTTTGCAGCACATCCACCTCTAAAAGCTCTTCCAAGGGAAGCATGGGAGCATTTCAAGAGATGCAGAAGGATAAAGGCACAAATTTTGATTTTGTATAAATCTGATAAAAAAAGCAAGAAAAATGAGGACAGAGAAGATTAAACTTTACTAGCTACTTAAGGACCTGGAGTAATATTTTACTGATTTTTTTGAGTCTAACACTTTTATAAATTTTATATTGACTGTTCTATGGCTTCATTAATAGAGTAACAGGAGAAGTAGAGATACCTGGAGAGGAGAAGAGATACCTGATAAGAACAGGTATCATCAAAACCTTGAGGGTTTTGAATNCACAGCTGCCTTCTAGGCCATCCCTGAAAAAATCTCCAACAGAACCCTGCCTTCATTCCTGATCTCCCACCAACAATCCCACAGCAACACTTCCAGCAGTGCTTCTGCCTTCTTCCTACCCCATCCCTTGTATTTTATTCCTCTTTATGCAGCAGGAATTTGGGGAAATCCCTCCTCCAGCTGCACCCAGGGTTGTCACAAGAGAGAAGCAAACAGAGGAAGCAGCTGTGCATGGAGGAAAGTCTCTCCTTCAGGCTGGAATTGCTGCTCCATGAACTCAGGCAGGTGCAATTACAGCTCTGAATGGCAAAGATAACATTCAGAAAGACACAGCTAAAGACTCAGGAGAAATGGGTGTGGGCAACAGATATTCCCTGGGAGCCTGGTGGAAACATCTCAGTGACTTTATTCAGAGTAACAGCTCCCCACACACAACAGAACAGGCAGAAATGAGGACAGCTGTGCTCCTTCAGTGAAAATGAAATCCCATTCACCCAGGATAGGGCTGAAAATGTTAACTGCTCACTAAAACATCACTTCAATTGCATCACTTGATTTCAGAGATGCTTAGCTGTAAATAAAAGGTTCTTGCTCTTTTCCCCAACACTAATGTGTATTATGAAACTATTTTTCTGCCTTAAAAGAACTTCTGTTGCAGTGTTGCACAACAATTTTCGTAACTACATCCTAAGAGTCTCTTCTGTTAATAATTTACTACTGAAAACATGCACTGTGGCTCTCTGAGTGTAAGTATTTCCCAACAGCAACTAACTTCAATTTCCATTTTCCAGCCTCTTCTATCAGCAAATTGCCACTTTAAATACTTGGGACTAGATCATCCTTTTAATGTCCTTGGAATGAGTTTGCAAACCAATAAAAAAAAATTGGCAGCATAATCAAACAAACCTTTTTTCTATTGGGTAAACTCCTGCAGTGATAAATTGAAGGCAAAGAATCAAATTAACAGAAACAAAGACAATTAAACCAGAAATGCAACTGCTGAGAAAAACATGACAGCAGCCTCACAACACCTTCAGGCTCTGGCTTTCTCTTTCAGATATTCTGTGGAGCCAGGGATGCACTGAGCAAGCCCCAAAATGCCTCCTTTATCTTTAGGTAAAATATTTGATCACGGATTAGAGGATTAAAACAATGCCCAAACAGGTGCTTGGGGAAAAAAAAAAAAACTCTTTGAAAAGATAAATATCAGGTATTTCCTTTATCACAGACATTATCCAGTCTTGCTCTGCTTTAAAAATAAATGCTGCTCAAATTCTTGCTCTGAAGGAGGCATTTGAGCTCCAGGATCTCTGATACATATGACAGAAAAAGAGCTGGAGTATTTCAACAGATGATGTCTTCACTTAGGGCTCCTTCCAAAT